TCAGTTTGTTGAGGAATTTCTGAATTGTTAGCAAAAACCTACATCTATGTAACTCCCAAGCCCCTGGGCCACCACCATGACCACACACTCCACCCTATCCCACCCCACTCCACACTTCCCCTGGAACCAAGTGCTTAGGAAGAGACTCCTAGGTTCTGGCACTTGCTGGCAGTGTGACCTTCATTTAATTCCTGCATACATCTGAGTCTCTGCATGGCTACTGAGATATAAATGACAGCTGCAGCACTGTATGCCAGCCCCTATCTGCTTGTGACAAACAGTGCTACTAATCAGATCCTCTGATATTAGCTTTTCAGTGACTGTTGAAGAAAGAGACCTTTCTATATACCCTGAAATGTAAAGACTTAGGGTTACAAACATAGCAAGCATAGCTACCCCAGGCTTCATCTGGCCTTCTTAATCTAAAATATAGGAAGAAAATTATCACTGACCCAAATCGTCATGACCAAATTAATTAAAGCAAGCTTTTTCATTTGTGTACAGGGACTGCCTCTGCCTAAGGTAGGGCTTGAGAGGTCAGCAGCATTGGATGTGAGGAAGACAAGGTTTTTAAAGTTCTGGAGTAGGGGGTTTCCAATGGGGGATTTGATGGGCAAAATTGGCAGGGTTATAGGAGCAGAATATAAGCCTAACAAGTTAGTCACAATGACCTCCTGAAACAAAGACATGACTGCAAGGTGGGGCAGTCATCAGTGGTCATAGAAACTACGTGGTTATAAGCTACGTTTTGAAACAAAGACATGATTGCCATTTCTGGAACAGGGATTACAGAAACATCTGTAATTATGAAAGATCCTCGGAGTGAGGAGTCTCCCTGATCCGGCCAGTTCCCCCAAAACTCAATGTCCAGTCCAGTTGATGCAATGAGCAAGAGGCTTTAATGAAGGAGAAGCATTTGTACAAATGGGCCCTCCCAGCATGCAGGCTAGAGAGAAGCATCGATCTCTAGGCAAAACCCACAAGCTTTAGGGAGGGGTTGTCACCCTTTGACCATTGAGTACGTGACCAGAATCACAGGTCCTTTGGAGGTCTCTTATCTTTGGGGCCGGATGGTCTTCTGACTCAGTGGGATAGTTTGTTCTTATCTTCATGACCCCAGGGCAGGGTGGCCCTCTGGAAATTCTTGGTATTTAGTTAGGTTATCTTGTGGCCTTGCAAGGGAGTTATTGCTGCCAGCTAGGAAATTCCAGGGACTTGGGTCATTGTGACCTTGGTTAGATTTCTAAGTCAGGTTGCCCTGCTTTTAGTGTGGGAGGTTTTTCTAAGTCTCCTTATTTTATTTCTTTGTTAATTTTTAAGTCCTTCAGTTAAGGTTACAGGTAGAGCATAGCCAAATCCTTGAGAAACAGAGGTTTAATCATAAGCAGGAAGGAACCTAGTTTGTCCTTGCTATAAATTGGCTTTTAAGCCTAAGATGGAGGCAGGGCAGATCTTCACTGGTACAGCCTCATTTGCTTTTTGAGTTTGTCTTTCAGATTCACAGGGCCCCTTTCCCTCCTACCTCCTTTCTTCTTTCCTGTTTGTTGTTTGTGTTTTGTTTGTTTGATTTTGTTGGAGGCAGTGTTTCTTAGAGCCCAAGCTGGCTACAAACTGAGGTCAGCTGAGAATCATCTTAAACTTCTGAGCCTCCGACTGCCACAGCCAACTCAGTTCCCTTTTTCTTTAGCAGCAGCTTGCATTGGGTTCCATCTTGACCTCTGACTTCCAGCAGGCAGGACTCTGGCTCAGTCCCCAGAATGTACTATTCATCTTAGCAACCTAGGTTTTGGGAATTTCATAAAAAAAGAAAAGGTCCCCCCCCCCCGCCCCAGTTTGGCCCATTGTCAAGCTCTGACAGCACACATGAGGAGTGTACAAGGTGTTTAAATACACCACACCTTCCACTGGGAAAGCCCTGCCTTTAGTAGCAGGTCTCACTTGGGGTCACCCTGGGAAACAAAGTCTGGAATGTGAGCCTCAAAGCTAGGTTTCATGGAGACAATGCTCACCCAGGAGATGCTGGGAGGTTGCTTAGGAGACAAGGCAGCTCTAACAACTGAGCTAGAACAGTAAATAAAATTGCCATCTGTTGAGTTCTTAATATGGGCCAGGCACCATGCCAAGCATTTTACAAGTGTTAGCTATCTCCTTTTTAAACATGCTTAAATTGTGGAATAAAATATTCCTCGATTAAAGTGTTCAAAACAAATGCATGGTATAAGGAACAACCAACAGGGCAAATGTGTGTGATTACCCTCAGGGTCAAGACAGAACCTCCCAAGCACTGGAGAATGGCCTGCTGGAGGAGGGTCCCTGTGGGCCCCACCCTCTCTTCTTGGAGAGACCCTGCTGTGATTTCGTGTCAGTCCCACAGGGTTTCTCTGTGTAGGCTTGGCTGTTCTGGAACTCACTTTGTAAATGGCTGGCCTCGAACTCACAGAGATCCACTTGCTGCCTCCCAAGTGCTGGGATTAAAGGCGTGTGCCACTTGTGCACCAGTATCGATCTCTTGTCTTTGGACTTTTCGAAAATATGTGACTGTTGTGACCCAGGCAAACCTGGCTGTGCCTCTCACCCACCTGTGCACGGCAGGGGTGTATGTACCCTGGCTCTTTAAAAGAAAAAGTCCACCCACTTCTGTTCTCTTTTTTCCTCTGTTCCTCTAGAGGGCAGACAGGACCTTCCCTGCCCACTCCTCTTCTGTCCTGTCTCTGTGACTGTCTCTTTATCTTATTTTCTTATTTCCCCCTCAAAAAAACTTTCAGTATGAGTCATGTCTATAGGTCTCTGTTTTCCCACTGGCCTTGGGACATTGATCCTTGAGGTCCCAGTGATGGAAAATAAAAGCTAAATCGTCGGTAGCTTAGTGTTGCATCCAGATGCTATGTCTTCTTGGGGGTTGCTGGGGATTGAACCCAGAGTCTTGCACATTCTAGGCAAGCAAAATCTCTACAATTGAACTATTACTGCATATTTATTTGTTCTGTAGTGTAGCCATAAATCTTTCCGCCAGCCACCTGAGCCCCGCCACCACGTGGGTGCCCAAAATAACACACAGAGATTAATATTATTTGCAATGCTGCTGGCCAATGACTAGGATTTCTCATTTGCTAGCTCAGTCTTAATTATCAACCATAACCATTAATCTATATATTTGATAAAGACTTACCTTATCAAGGATGCTGGCCTTATGCATCCTGTCTTCCCAGGGATCACATGGCGACTGCGTCTCTACTACAGTTCCCAGAATCCTCCTTCTCTCCTAGTCCCCACTGATTTTCCTTTCCTATTGGCCAACAGTACTTTATTTATCAACCAATAAGACAAACATACACATAGAAGGACTTCCCCATCACTGTAGTTAATGGATATTTGCTTGTTTCCAGGTTGAGGCCATCACCAGCAGTAAAGTCACTGGTAGACTGTTTATTCTGTCATACCTGAGAAGTTCCTCTCAGACACTCAGTCCAAACAATATAGATGTGCATTTTTGTGTTATTAGATGATTTTTGCCCCTGGATCTCCATTCCATTAGCAGCACCTAACTCCCCACTGCCAACCCCCACATTGGTATCATCAGATTTTGCAAAGCTGATGAATATGGGTCCTATTTAGCTATAGCTTCAATATTTGGCAACTGATTTTAAATATACTTATGTTATTAATAAGTTATTAATACAGTCATATTTCACCCACATTCCTCCCTATTTTTGCCTCATTTTCTTGGTGTTGTACAGGTGGCTACAGGTGACTGGCTCTGTATTTTCCTTTATTGATGAGGCTGTGTTAGTGCCTTTTCTGTCAGAAGGTCAGGTTTTCTTTTCCTTTTGTGGTTTGCCCTTTTACTTTGTTTGGTAAGAGGTTCTTCTCAGTTTCTATTCTGGACATCTATTTTCTATGGTTTCTTCCATTTTCATGCAACTCCTTGATTCTCACAATGGATACAAGAAACAAATATCACCAATATGTCAGTGTCTCTGAGAGAACAACCTTAGTGAGAACGGAGTACCTGTGAGCACTGTCCAGTCTGTTACACTAAGGAGTGAGGCAGATGCCCTTGCCAGTGCTCCCAGACTTTCAGCCCCACAGAAGTGTCCCAGGAAGCAGCTCTCTTCCTCTTCCTCCTTCTTGTATCTTTGTCTTCTCTCATTTTTTCTGCCTACTTCTGGACCCTATGACTCCCAGCTTCAAATGACACCCTCTAGAATCTCTTCCCAAACTCACAGAGGAGTTTTGTGGGGCACTGTCCCTTCCCAAGCAGGCTGCCAGGTCGCAGGACACCATGGCTCGGACGATCTTCTGTGTGATCAGCTGGCAGTCCCTTGGCCAGAGTCCTTTGGATGTGGCTGTAGGCACCAGGGCTGAGTCCTGGTCTCAGAGCAGGTCCCCTCCCAGAGCTCTGCCTTTGCCCAGAACCTTCCCAACTCTGCTGGCCTCTCCTTGTTGTCAAAGTGACAGCTCCTCTCTGCCCTGCTTTCCACCATCACTTCACTTCCTGCCAAGCCCACTCAGGCATTCGGGCAGTGTAGATAACTCTGAAGTCTCCCACTTCTTCCTATTACTGGTCTTATGCTGGTTCAGCCATCTCCATCTCTCTTTTGGAACTCCCAAGATCACTGCCTGAGTTGACACTGAATCCATTGTCCCTTCTTCTTGGTCCAGAGGATTGGTTAGAAAGGCCAGCTGGCTAGGTTGGATTTCATGTATCCTTCAGGAATGAAACTTGGAAAGTGCTGGGAGCTGTAGCCTTCTCCCTCTCGCTCCTGCCTTGCTTTGCTCAGTCTTGCTGCAGTGTTGGCTTTTTCTCACAGGGCCTTTGCACACAGCCTGCATTGCCTGGGATGCCCTGGCCACTCTCATTAGAGCTCAGCAGTTCTAGCCTCTAATTAGAGCAAAGTTTTTTCAGCTTTCCACACTCACAATCCCTGTTTGGTCAGGAAATTCGTACACAATTCATTGTAGATAGGGCTATAAAATCTGTATATAAACCAAACATTATGGATAATAAATCATAAAGAAATTTATTTTAAAGCAAATTCTTTAGTGTACATATAAATTTATGATTTATTAAAAACAAATTTGTGTATTAATTTGACACTGTACTTGCTTATTTTTACATAAATGAATCAAATCTTGGCTGAATATTTGATATGTGGGACCTACAGCATCTCTAACACCTTTCAGGATTGGTCAATATTTTGATTTTATAACTGTCAATACTGAGAATGCTTCTCGTAAATAAATAGTACAAAATGTTAGGAGTGTGATTGAGGCCATTTGAAAATTATTAGAGATTCTGTCCTAATCCCACATCAGAATTCACTGAATGATTTCTATGTGAAATTCAAATCAGCAACTCAAGCAGCAGTTCTTAAAATCAAACTTTCTAACACAAAATGATCAGTCATGGTACTTCATCCACATGTACTGAGGGATGATGGCATGGAGATATTCTTGGTTTTCCACAATTCAACTCTGATGTGTCTGTAAGAGCAGAAAAATTTGTGTGAACATGGAAACACTATCATTTATAGCAATCGTAGCTCAAATCTGAGTCTGGTAGATCCCAGCAGAAACCATCAGAGTTGTGTGATGTTATAAACATGTAAAGTGTGGGTGCCATGTTTGGAATGAGGGCTTGTGAAGCAGCACCTGTGGTGCTGTAAGAAGCACCTTTATTGTGTGGTAGAATTACTTTTTGGTTGTTGTACATTCAGCTATCTTTTACTGTGGCCAAAGTCTGTGAGGCCTCCAAATTTAGTCACATGACCCGATATAGCTCATAGCACACACTCAATGAAGGCTTGGACTAGTTCACAGGGGGCTGATTAATGTTGGTGGAGGTAAAAATGATTCATTTAAACAAGCTATCATTCTCATCAGACAGACACAGAGAACCATTGCTGACACCCTGTAGCTGAGGCTATAGGAAGCTGTGCTCACCTTAGTATCTCACTCAGCTACTGTCTTTATTAAACTACTCAAGCCCTTTTGGCCACATTTCACTTCTATGAACTTGTCCTTTTAAAATGTACTCACAGGCTACATAAAGACACATAGAGTAATTTTCTTTACATATTGTTTACAACACAGACCATAGTTATACTGCCGTGCACTCATAGTGTGGAATATTACTCAGCCATCAAAAAGAAATGTGTGTTTGGTGTAAGGAGCATCATCATGATACATTGAGCTAAAAAATAAATCCAGAAGGCTATGATTTTATATCCTAGTTACACTTTTAAAAGTTGAAGAAACAAACAAACAAACTTGTTGGCAGTGGCTTCTCTGGAGAGGTAGTTAGTGAAATAGTTTCTATACTTTTCTTTCTTTTTTGAGGCAGGATTTCTCTGTGAAGCCATGGCTGTCCTGAAGCTTACTCTGTAGAATAGCCTAGCCTCAAACCTAGAGACCTGCCTGCCTCTGCCTTCCTAGTGCTGGGATAAAAGTTGTGTGCCACCATTGCCCATCTACTTATGTCTCTATAATGATTTTTTGCTGTTTTATTACTAAAAATAATTTCATAACCTAAAACTTCTAATACAGTAAAAAATACTAATTGCACAGCACACCTGCTGTGTTCCCTAGAGGATGTTCTGTGAGGTCAGCACCATCTACAGCCTATTCACTGCTATTTCCCCAGAGTCTACTTGGTGTTGGGAACTTGATAAGTGTTCATCAAGCATTTATTAATTAATTAATGGATAAGTGAATAAACTATCTGTTTCTGTGATAACTGCTCCCCAGTCACAGCTCTGGAAGCAGCACACTGGCCACCCCTTTGGGGTGTACTCTGTTCTTGAAAGCAGTTTCTGGTTCAAGTCACCTTTGCTGGCAGCTTTGATGTATCACCCTTATTGCTGACTTTGAACTGTGGGGCCTTTGCACAATTATTGCACTCATTGTGGGTTCCATTTCTGACTTAGGAAATGATTTTGTTCAAAGTTGCCAGCATAGTTTAAAGCCCAAGCCATGCCTCTAAATTCCAATAGTCTTCCCAGCTTTCTGCCTCCCACATCCTTGATCAAGAGCTACAGGTTAGCCCCATGGCAAGACACAGACAGACAGACAGACAGACAGACAGACAGACAGGGGCTCTCTAACTTAGCCAGTGGAGTGTGTCCAGTTCTAGTACTCCACCACAGGGCCTTTGCACTGAAAGCTCATTCTTCTGAGAAAACTCATTCCAGCTGGCAAGGCTGTCTTGATACAAGGGTTTGGATCTCAGGACAGCCCATGTGAAAGGCTGTCCTCCTCTGTCTTCTGGTTTCTCAAGTCCCCCACTCTCCTGCCCTCTTGAAAATATTATTATAACAAAGGGCACATGTTAATTTTTCCTATGTGGTTTGAATAATAATGGTCCCCACAGGCTCATTGATTTTAATGCTTAGTCACCAGGGAGTAGAACTTTTGAAAAGATTAGAAGGAGTAGGAGGTGTGGCTTTGTTGGATGAAGTATGTCACTGGGGGTGGGCTTTGAGGTTTCAAAACTCACAAAACTCACACTAGGACCAGGTTTGCATGTGTCCCTCTCCCTCTCTCTCAGCCTAGGATCAGCTACTCTCAGCTACTGCTATTATTCATGCTGCATGACCCCTGTTTATTCTTTTACTTAAATTAGAAATGAAGAAAGGAAGAAAGATGAGACATGAGACTAAGAGAATACATTAACCAGTTTATTATATCATGGAGAGTGAGTGAGAGAGAAATAGAAGAGAGGAGGCGGAGAAGCAGAGAGAGAGGCAGAGAGAGAAGAGAAACGAAGAGAGAGAGAGAGAGAGAGAGAGAGAGGAAGAAGAAGAAGAAGAAGAAGAAGGAGAAGGAGACAGAGATAGAGAGCAAAGCAGGGAAGTTGGAACTTTTAAAGGGAAGTCTGCACATGCACATTGAGGTTCCATGCATGCCCAGAGTCCTCATGCAGGCCATAATGTGGGGTGGGTGACGTGGTGATGGCACATTCCTGTGCATGCCCTGACTGTTGTCCGGGGACCGGGTCTGTTTCTTAAAGAGGTAGAGCCAATCAGCATTAAAGCCGGAACCTTTCATTCCCACCTCTACTTATTATTAAAAAAAGGTGGGTGTTAGACACGGCAGGGTAAGGAATAAGGGCATCAAATTCTCCAGACTGCTTCCTGCTGACCTAGGGGGCATTGACCATCTTTGGGGGGGGGCCTGAGAAGGTTAGGGTGCTGCCGTGTCCTGGGGTAGCTGGTTGCTCCATTGAAGTCCAGGCATGGAACTCTGGCACCTCTTTGACCTGGCAAGATGTTGGCAGGGCAGAGGACAAGGTTAAGTTTAGAAAACAATTTTTTTTCTTAGGTCCTGGTACTTGAGGGGAGGATTGTAAGATGAGGGAGGGGTTCCTGAGGGGTCCCAACATGAAGGGAGTCCTGGGACCAGGAAAAAATTGAATAACTGGAGTGAATCTGACCTGTTTGGATCCAATTCAGCTCCCTGGAACTTACAAAAATCCTTAGAGTTTGTGGAAACATAAGTATTAGACACATTAGCAGCATTTTCATGTTAGAAGCAACTTGGCTGAAAGCATTAACATTTTAAAATTGACAGACATTTTTTTAGGACAATGAAAAGCATCTTAATCTTGACCTTGTAGTTATGATCATATAGCGGTATTGTAGAACTTTACTGACTATGAACAGTAGCATGAGAAATAGAGAAATCTGGAACACATTTCATTGTTTTGAATGTAAATCTTAAAATACCTGTTCCTGAATCAGTTTTGCTTTATGCTGTCAAAACTACCAGTTGTCAAAAACATCAGAGTTCTTGAGAAGGATAAGATTTTACCTGAATTAATGATTAAAGAATAACAGAGACTTGCCAGCAGGCTGTAGGGACAGCCACCCCCAAGGTCCTCCATCCATGATTGTGGGCTGCAGGACACCCGCTTTCTTGCTGATAGCATGGGACCAGATAGCATGGGACCAGATAGCATGGGACCTGTGGATTGGGAACTATAGGAAGACTTGCCTACCGTTGATCCAAGCAACACAGGGAAAGTCGATTCCCCTGTCCTCTTGTCTAGTCTGGAGTACTTTGTAGAGTTGAGGTAAAGAGCAGGGTTGTTCAGTGACTAGCGTTGCCATTATTGTGGCTAGAGTTTCTTCATTGCCCACCAGTCTTCTTGAAGGAAATGGGGTGGGGCCAGCAGCTGTTATAAAAAAACTTTTTAATAAAACATTTTAAATGCTATGTTCTCTAGATCTCTGAGCATTTGAGGGTTGCCTGTCTAATATCTCGGCAGTCAAAAATTTACCTTTAGTTAGAGAAAAATTTCTTTTTGTAATAAAAGCGTTACCTTTGTAAACAGCTTGTAGGATGGATTGAGTGGTGTAAATATTTTGTTAACTTGAAATAGACCTTTATGATTTCAAATGTTAATCATCATTTAAAGATACATAACAATTTAGAAATATGAGATTTACCACAGTTTAAATTGCATATAGAGTTAGCTAAGTATAAAGTTAAATTTAAACTACATGTACAGAGACAAGCAGGACTGGATAAAAGTAAAAGGGGGAACCAGAATCTTTGATCCGTACATTGTAGCAAACAGACAGGAGATTTAAAGGGACAGAATAGACTTAAACAGAGGGCCCTGGAAAGACACAGTATTCCATAAACGAGCCATGCACAACAGGGCCAGTGAAAGGAATCAGAGACAAAAATAAAAAGCAAAAAATCTGGCAGCCAGGTTTGCTGGCACAGGTGGCTGTGGTGGGCGTGCCTACAGGTAGGTCACATGGCCAAGATGGTGGCAACCTTAGGCATGTTTCCGACTGCTGGCAGGAGTAACAAACAGAAGAGTGGGGGACATTCCCAGGTGAAAGAATGTTCCCACAGAGAGGTAGAAGAAAGCTTGGATAGTACATAAGAGTTTTAGTGAAACAGGACATTGTTAGGTGAAAGGAGGTTCCCACAGAGAGGTAGAACTCCTCCCATTTACCTCTTCGCTGGCAGTAACCAGAAAAGTTCCCATACATGTATTCCCCATGGGTGAGGCAAGTGAAAAAACCGGCAAAAGCCCCTCTTCGGAAGCCCATAGCCCTGAGAGGGATTGCTGGGGGCCTGGCCCCAAAGGGGACTCAGCTATCCCGAAACCAAAAGGACCCAGTGGTCCGAACTGAAAAGCCAAAAAGCACCTCTCCTGGAGTGGGATTCCAAACCTGACCTTGGGAAATTTAAGGGGTATCTTACCAGACTGCAGCCAACAGGCAGATGAGTGGATTCCAAAGATCCTTAGTTTGAAAAGCGGCAAGTTGAAGCGTACAGAGTTCTGGCATCTCAAGCCACCACAGGCAGGAGGTAAGGCCGGGAAAACCGAGATGGAAAGTGGGTTGTGTGTTCGGATTCTAGGATCCCCGAAATTCCCCGTAACCCTGGTGGGAGAGGTTTCAGGGAGAGCCTAAACTGAGTTGGGTGCCAAAAATGTTATTCTTTTGCTTAAATTCAGGTATTATGCTGGCCTGCCCCTGTTACCTGGCAGAATCCACTCAGGCAATACCCAGTCAGCCCAGGGTTCCATGGGAACTAAGTCTGCACGCAGGTGTAAAGGATCCCTGCCCACTTATGCGCTCTTCCTTCTCTTCTCTCTTCTCTCTCTCTGCCTGTTCTCTCTTCCTCCCTTCACTTCTCTCTGTGGCGCATGGCGGTCTGCCATTAACTTTGTTTCTCTTCTCTCTTACTCTCTCTACTCTGCCAGGCCTGTAATAAACAGGTTAATGTATTCTCTTAGTCTCATGTCTCATCTTTCTTCCCCACGTTCGGTGCCAAAATGTTAGATTTTTGCTTACATTAGAAATAAAGAAAGGAAGAAAGATGAGACTAAGAGAGTACATTAACCATTTTATTATATCATGGAGAGCAAGCGAGAAAGAAACAGAAGAGTGGAGAAGAGGCAGAGAGAGAGAGCAAAGAGGCAGAGAGAGAGCAAAGCAGGGAAGTTGGAACTTTTAAAGGGAAGACTGTACATGCACACTGAGGTTCCATGCATGCTCAGAGTCCTCACATAATGTGTGGCAGGTGACATGGTGATGGCACGTCCCTGTGCATGTCCCTACTGTTGTCAGGGGCGGGGTCTGTCTCTTAAAGCGGTAGAGCCAATTAGCATTAAAGCCTGAACCTTTCAACCCTCACCATGACACCATGATGATAATGGACTAAACCTCTGAAACTGTAAGCCAGCCCCAATTAAATGTTTTTCCTTTGTAAGAGTCTCTTTGGTCACGGTGTCTCTTCACAGCAATGGAAGAGTGACTAAGACACTTTCCAGTATTACCTACTCCCCACTCCCTTCCCAGGTTTATCAGGTGTTCTACCTTCCTTGTTCGCAGCTCCTGGGCCTGGACTAGTGCAGTCACTCCATATATATGTATTTCCCAAGGGAACAAATGTGGCTCCATTCACATGAACTGTTTTCATACTCAGGCTTCCATTGTACTTGCAAGGCTGGCCCTGGGGCTACTGTAACAAATTACCATGAGTCTAGAGGCACAAAGCAACACAGACATTATTCTCTAACAGTTCTCAGAAGTGAGAAGGCCAACATTTTTCTTTTTAAACTGAGCAAAATCAAGGCCACACTCCCACCACAGAAGAGAACATGGCCCTTGCCTCTGCAGCTTCTGCTGGTTGACAGTGTTCCTGGGCTTGTGGCTGCCTCTCAGCACCAGCAACTTCAAGTGTTTCTGTATGCTGTTTTTTTTATATCACTCTGTGCATGTGCACTTATAAAATCCCTGTAGGGACAGTGTAAGCCACGCCTGCTAGAAGCTGGCTACACGTGTGCCTGACCACACCTATTAGGGCGTGGTCAAGGTGAAGTCAGGATGACACGTGATAAGTTTTTAAGGGGCTGCAAGGCCCATGGGAGCCCCTTCTCTCTGTCCTGCCTGCCTTGCTGCCCCTGGCGCACTCTGGCTTGTGTTAGGCTGATGTTAATCTAAATAAAGATATCTTAACCTTACGGACTAAGGATCTTCTCGTAATAAATCCCCCTCGGCTTCTTTCCCCCCTTTGTGAA